TCATTGAGGCCGGCTAGATCAGGCATGATCACAGCCGTTACAAGTACAAGTACTATATGACAAGGACTAACTTACCTTTAAGTTGTTAGCTCTTTATAATACTGCGTTAAAAGTCCACCTCCCGTCGTAGTTGCTTAAATTTCAGTCGTTTGCTACTTACCGTTAAAATAGAAACGACATGATTTTGGTGACCAGGCAGCTTACGCATATATCCCTTTGTTTTATCTGTCTTCATCACAGACTCGGTTTATGCGATGTTTGAATGGCTATACATGTGGTTGTTTCCAACACTGAAATTGCCGATCATTTCATCTGCAGAAACATGCTAGATTTGGACAGAATATTTTGTTGGCCACTGCTGACAATGATCACGTAGAGTAACATTTGTCATATTCTAAACGACTGTTTAATTTGAGTAATTCATTCTATAAGGGACTGACATAAGGAGGGTTTTATACCAGGATTAAAGAAAAATAGGCCATCGGGCGGTGATAAATCCACTTAATGATCAATAGGCTCGGTGCCTACGCACTGACCTAGAAAGTCTCTGTGGTTAATGCTAGTTTTCTTTCGACTTGGGGACTGTCATGGCTCTGCAAAACATATTATCGTTGTCAGGATTATTCTTTCCAATCGAGTGCCTGCAGTCTACAACGCAGCTGATAGGCAAAAAGTCAGCAACACGAAGCACTCAGTCCTTGCGCATCAAATGGCGGTTGGTGGCTCGTAAATGTATCAGTCTGGTTTCAGATCTGTCATAGACGGGTAAAACTACGTAGAACGGGGGGTATTAACTCTGGTTTCCTTCCCCTGACTTAATTCATCCCGTCCTCTTTGCTGACATTTTCCTCCTCTACAGGTCAAAATGAACCTGAAGTTGAACTCCTTCTCATGGAACCCAATGGAACCCTTTATTTTCACAGCGGCATCTGAAGATTACAATCTTTATACTTTCGATGTTCGCTTCTTCAAGCATCCAAGGAGGGTGTTCATTGGCCACACCAACGCAGTTATGGATGTTGATTACTCGCCTTCGGGGCGTGAATTCGCATCTGCTAGCTATGATGACACGGTAGGCAGCCGAACAGATTTTTCAATGTCTAAAGCTGCCTTGATTTATTGTCATCTGGAAAACTAATAGCTTTTTTCCTAACCCTTGTGTTCAGATTCGTATTTGGAGTACAGATACAACATCCTCTGTGGATGTGTATCACACTCGTCGTATGAAGCGTGTCCTGAAAGTCAAATTTACGTTGGATGGCCGATTTCTCCTCTCGTCCTCTACCGATCAGAATGTGCGATTATGGAAAGCACATGCGAGCGAAAAACTCGGGGCGGTAAGCTCAGCACTTTTTGAATTTCGTTTTGGGTTGCAAGTCAAATTTTAATTTGCACAGGCTTTCAATTTCACGGGTTACTTTATGCCTGATAGTCTGCGTCTCAATGTTCTGTCAGCCGGCCCCCTTCTTTAAGCCCACGTAATTGCTTCATTACTTAGTTAGAAAAGGAATTTTAGTTGCAGGGACTGTCGCTGCCTCGTAAGACTGTGTACGGTATCCCTT